TTTTTTTTTTTTTTTTTTTTTTTTTTTTTTTTTTTTTTTTTTTTTTTTTTTTTTTTTTTTTTTTTAGCTTTTTTTTTTTTTTTTTTTTTTTTTTTTGAAGAAGAAGAGTAGCTCACTATTCGCGGACGATCCCACCATCATGGTAGACGCAACGCACAGGAATATGGAAGAGGTTAAACACTTAATGGACAAATTTACCTCAGTGTCCGACATGGTGGTGAACTGTTGAAGCAAAACACAAGGAAGGTGGATCCACCATCAAGGGGGGCGCCGACCAGACTCCCCCGCAATACACTGGCTCCCTCACGAGGCTCCGGTGCGTGCCCGAGGGGTCTCCATGACGGTCCAGGGACGCCCGCCTTCCGATGACAACTGGATAAGTGCCCCAGCCCTGACCAAATTGACCAACTGGCGTAACAAACACGCATCCATCCTGGGGAGGGCACTCGCACTCAACAACGTGGTTTTTGCCACCCTATGGTACAAGTCAGTACTCTGGCCGTTAAGCAAGGCGGCCTTCCAATCTCTCAAATCTGAAGCGGCGGCCTTCTTTTTTTTTTTTTTTTTTTAATAAAGCCCAGGTTGTTGTAGAGGTGGCATACTAGACGGATGGCAGTCACCCACAGTACTCGGCCACTCGGTTGTCCAGATGAACCCCTCTGAAGACCCCACCCACCCTTCCTCTCATCTTTTTGCCCTAGCACACCCCCACCCCCCCTCTTCTACCCTAGTGTTAACCACCCAAGACCATCACCCATTGCCATCTTGGCAAGGTGACCTGACCAGACAGCGGTTGCAGGTACCGGGGCTAAGCAGAGATGCCTACCCCCTGCTCAGCCCCGGTTGAAGCAGACACCGTGCAAGCCTGATTGCACGGGGACTTCGGGAGCTAGGTATGAACATGATACTACAGGTCTTTATGGGGTGCACAGTGACTCCCATCTAGCTTAGTTATGTGGTGATGATAGAGGGCTGGGTATCCTCCGTTCCCTCGTATGTCCCTGGAGCCCGTTCCGGTCATGACACCCCCGACATCCCGTACTAAGGAACTGCTATGCCAGCCTCAACCCTATGCTACGTACTAGGAGGATAGCCAACCCTAGGTCATGAGTTATGAACTGAGTTTCTTTTTTATATATATATATATATATGGAGTCCATGGTGTTGTAGAGGCCAGTCACTGAGTACACAGTGACCACCTAGAGTAGTAGGCCGCGGGTGTCCTGGAATATGGGACCACCTCCCATCCCATCCTTACGTCAATGCTCCTAGCGCACCCCCTATCCCACTATCCTACCTGAGTGTGACCAGCATTCAGGACCATTACCCTACATGACATTCATTCATCCATTCATTCGACACAACACACAACAACGAAATCGAGATCGATTATAAAAACGAGTGTGGGCGAAAACCAAGCTAAGATTCCGAGCACAATCAAAGAAACGGGCGAATCACCCTGAGATTAAAATTTATATACAAAAGCAAGAGGGGGAAAAAGACAAAGAAAACTGCAAATCCACGTCCATCAACCTCAGCTCCCTCTTTCTCTCTCTCTCTCTCCGATGCGGACAGTCCGTCGTCACGCACCAACCCACGAAGTTGTCACCCCGCTTAGTCCTCCCGCACCCGTTAGGTTCGCCCGCACCCACAGTCCATCGTGGCCCACATCAACCCCGCGCGTTCAGCACCAGCTCGTCGGGTCGCCCGACTCCCACTTCAACTCACCTCTTACTTCACTCGTGAGTCGACCCTCACTGATCGCGCTACCCTGAGCTTCCAACAGCTGGTTAAGAGAGCTATCTAATCGCGCAGCCAGAATTTATAACATGCATGCATGCGTGAAGAACACGGAATTGCAAGGACTTAGAGAGGAGATTAGGAGAGGTATCGCCTGCGTTCTGCATGGCCAGACCACGGCGTGGGGGACTTTGCCTCTCTCCACGCATCGATCTGAGTCATGCAGCCCGCGGGCTTGGCTAGACACAACAAGAGAAAGCGAGAGCGGGAAAGACGAAGCTTAAGAAAGAAGATACAGTTACAATGGCGCCCGCCCAAAATTGCAGTTACACACACGATTAAAGGCGCCGCCTAATCAGAGTTCCGTTGCAGCCGCATGAAGGAGTGTGTAAACAAAAAGTGCTGCGCGGCAAAAGAAAATCCTAATTGCAAAATTCCTAAATTCCTATCTAATGCCGAGAAGCAAAAAACACAAGTTCTGAAAGTCCGAAATTCTGAGAGCCATCGGGGCTCGACAAGATTCGAAAAAGAATTCAAAAAGAAAATTCAAAAGGAACGAAGCAAAATTTCTGCGCGATGTCTGCGCCCAAAAGTCACAAACCGAATCAAAAGAAGCGACATCAACATTTATTAATCACGCGCACGGTGGCGCGCCACAGACACAGCCAACCAACCAATCGATCGTCCTGGGACTCACCCGGCCCTGAACCCAACCATCCGAAAGGAGACGACGAAAAAGACGAAGAAGCGAGGGCACTGATGCAATTTCCTTCCAATCCCGATCTCCCGTAATTGGCCCATCCTTCCCAGCTTAGGACCCCTCGTTGCTACCACGCAGGAAGTCGCGCGGCGCAGAAATCGGTTCGTCACATATGTGACGCCCAGGGGGTTCCAATCTTAAGCAAGCTCCTGCTTGCTTGAATCTTGACACGTGGCGACTTCTCTAATCGGTCGATGCGTGGAGCTTTCTGTATGGCCACTTACCGTGTAAAAAAGTGTGGACGACATCCAGCGTGGCATGCAAGCTCTGTCCTACAAATTCCTCAGGAGGGCTCTTGTCAATCCAAGGAGGGGATTACTCGTGCCATCGCCGTGGCACGCACACCAATCAACTGATCACCGATCATCAATGTCCATCGGGGAGGGGGAAGGGAAGACGATACATGGGGGCATGGCGAGTGGGAGGGTTAATCGGGAGGGGGGGTAAGAAATTGTCTAACCTCGCCACCGTTTCCGGAAGTTCTTGATATCGAACGATCCGGTGGAAGCGGGGGAAGCGATTACCACTGTGGGGGAGGGAGGCGAGGTAGTCGGGATACAGAGTGGCGAAGCTGCGAAAGAGCGCCGCGCGGAAATGGTCGTGGTTTTCGCATGCGGCGATAGTCCCCGTAATCATGCAATAAACTTCGACAATATTGTGGCCTCGCCACACGACACTCAGGAGAAGGATATGAAGGTAGAAGTCGGGGAGGGCGCATCGGGTCGAGGGGTGGGGGTGGATTGTGACAATAAGACGGGTGGCATAGAAGAAGCGGAAGGTATCGATGGGGAAGGGGTTACGGGGGAAGGTGGCGCGGGTGGTGGCTTGGCGGAGGGTGAGATGGTCAAGGGGACGGCGGGATAACGACCGGGGACGAAGCCCGATGGCCCGCATCCGCACGGGCTTGAACTGGTGGACGGTCGGGGGTGGAGGGGGAGGGGGATCGGCTTCGTCGCTGCCTTGCTGGTGTGGTCGAAGTCTCAGCCGCCGGTTCTCCATCTTCGGGCTTGGGTGGCTCCGGATCTCGGGCCGGATCGTCGGCGATCTGCAGATTTGCCCCTCTAGCGAATTCTAGCTGCCACTTTCCGGCGGCAATCTCCTCTCTCTTGCGCGCCGCCTCGGGGTCTTCTGCCCTAATGTCCGGTTGCTCCGCTTCCTCCGCCGAGATCTCCCACTCAGACTCCTCCAGTTCCAACTCGTCTTCTTCTTCTTCCTCCTCCTCACTCTGCTCCCCTTCGTTGTGTTCACTGTAACTCCCTTCTTCTGGGGTTTCTTCCTTGTCGCCCTCCTCCGCAGCTTCTTCTTCGCTTTCTTCCTCTTCTTGTTCAATCACTATCTCCTCGTCTTCGGAGGCCGTTCGATCCCGGAAAAAGGAGAGATCAATAATTTCCCATGGGTTTAGATAATTCCGCTGTGATGGCGGGTTGCGGCCGCATCCCGGTTCCTCCAGGCACGCTGACCACTGAAAGTACGGCGTCAACGTTCACGTGAGGACGTGCGGAACCGGGCTCTCGTCTCTTTGCGAGACGATCTCTAGGGGGAGATCGTCGACTAGCTGCGCGAGTGGGATCGTAAGCTCCAGGACAATCAGTTGGCGATGGTTGGGCTGCACCGATCTGAACAGGAATCCGAGAAGATCGCCCTCCACGTCCGTTCTCCAGGCCTGGATAATCAGCCACTCCAAGTACTCGCTCCACGCACGATGTTCTTCGTCCCTTGTCCACGTGACTCGTACTCCGACCAGGCACACCGAAAGCCCGACGAAGTGCTCATGCCAGAGTCTTCACTGCCCCGGATCGAGAAGGGGGACTGCGAGCGGCTCCAGGCAGAAAGAGAGACGAGGGTGGAGACTAGATTGCCAGAAGGCGGGGAAGAGAGATGGGAGGGCGAAGGTGGAGGGTTGGGAGTGGTTCATCGGGGACGCTGGAAGGGGATGAGTTTCGGCAGCACCACCGCTGGCTTGTGATGGAATGCTCGAATCCCACCGAGATCGACGCCGTCTGTGGGGAAAAGATTATCCCCGTGGCGCGTAAGCTAGTGGTTCCACTCCGTTGACAATTGTTGCGCCCACTCCCTCAGTGACGTCTGGATGGTTGTACGCCGAAGCACACTGACCGTGCTGATATCGCCGCTGAAGCTGACGACCGTGGACACGTGGCTAATCCCTGGAGCTGACCGCCGATGGACAGCCACCGCTTCTGCCAGCACAACCGCCTGAGGACTGCCCGCGAATCATAACTCGGCCGCTGCGTACACTCCCGAAGTGCAGAAGAACTGTGCCAGTCGTAGAAGATCCAAATTGAACCGTGGATGACGAACCTGCTGAATTGTCGAGATGTAACCCCGTGGCGCTAAGAGATGGTCGCCGAGGGCTCGCTCCATGAGAAAACTCATGACGATGGTGGCAGGGGCGGAGTTTGGGAAAAGGCAAAAGATGCAGGGGAGGAAGAAGGTGATGGAGAGTCGTTGTCTTCTTCCGTAGCGAAGGAAGAAGACGAAGGTGCAGGAGATGGGGAAGAAGGGAGGGGACGCAGGTAAGACATGTGGCGAACGATCGGCCACGCCGATAGGCTCCCCGAGACCTCCGGCACAAGGCGCACGATGTTCACTCCGTTCGGTCCAAGCTCGATCACTCGGAATCGCCCGAAGAATTGTGGCGCTATCTTACCTTGGCGAGCACATTTCCTTACCTGCACCAAGTCCCCTAATTTGTACTGGGGCCGTGGACCCGCATTCCCGTTTCGGGCCTCGTAACTACGGACCTGCCGGCCGTGGGCCAACTCGATCATTTTCTGGCGCTTTTGGGCTAATCGGGGCAGGAACCTTTCCATTAATTCCAGGTGCAGCTTGGCCTTGTCTCGAACCGTGGCCCTCGTGGGCCGTCGATTTAGTAAAGACTCGTCCGGGAGGCTGGGTATTGAGACGCAGGCCACACTATTGGTCCTCAATTGAAAAGGGCTCAGGCCCGTTGATTCGTGGGGCGTCCCTCGATGGACCGCCACGATATGATCTACGATATCGGGCCAGGGCCTGGGGTCCCGTGCCACGATATTGCGTCGTAGCGCAGTCTTTATCACCCTATTTGTGTTTTCTACCAGCCCGTTGGATTGCGACATATGGGGTGCGGTATTCCGAATAGCGACGCCGTGTACGACCAGATTCCTCAGGACTTCTCCCCTGAATTCTACCCCATTATCGGTCAGAATTTCCTCTGTGTCCTGGTGCATCCCAAAAAACCGGTTGACATATCGCGCAATTTCGGCTGCCTGTCGCGTACGACAGGGATGCACCTCGATCCATTTCGAAAAATGGTCCACCAACATGAGTAGGATTGAATATTCGCAGCTATTTGGTCCAGGGGGTACCACAATATCGGTGGTATCCATGCTAACCATTTGAAAAGGTCGTTCGACTACCGTCGGTACTATCGATCTTGGCGGCTGAATCGGCGCCTTATCAGCAACACAGACCTGATAGTTTGCGACGATGAATTTCACATTGTCACGAATATTGGACCAATACCACTCATTTTAGTCGATTGTCGCCTCCGTGATCCGTACGGCAAAATGGGCAGCAGTTTCCTCGTGCGCTGTCTTCACCCAGTCATACCTCATGAACGGGTGCGGCACTACCATCCGTTTTCCGTTTTTCCAGCCGTCCTTCATTCCAGCGGTAGTCCCGAGCCCTTTCGTTGGCCCTCCTCTGATCTTCCTTGGTGAAGTCCTGAAGGGGGTTACCCACTAGAGTAGCAATCAAGGCGATATCCGTCCCAACTTCGGCCCTTCTAAACCTCCGGGTCTTTTCCAACCCTTCTGACGTGGCGTCTAAAAAGCGAGTCTCGGTCGGGATCTTATCAACCCGACACAAGGGGCACAACCAAGATTTGTTGTCGTTTCGATATTGGATGCACGAGCCATGGACTCATGCGACGCACTGTCGACAATCTACCCATTCCCCATACCCTTCCCCGTTAGGGCGCATAGAGATCGAGTATACGAGAGAAAGTGCTTCGCAAAAATAACAAAATTTATCAGGCAGAGAGAGGAGAGATGAGGAGGAGAGGGGAGAGAGAGGAGTTACAGGATTACCTCCGTCACCCATTGCCACCGGTCTGCTTCCTGCCACATGGAAGGACTGCCACTTGTCCGCACTTGGGCCCGTTCGCCGATTTCGGTTCCTTCCACGGGATGATCTCTTCCGCCTTAGGCACTTTAGCTGGTCGATGTAGACGTGTCAGTCCATCCGTGTTGCCGTGCCTCTCTGTTTTTCGATGGATGATGTCGAAGTCGTACTCCTGTAGACGCACCGCCCAACGTCCAATCATGCCCGTGTAGTTAGTGAGTCGCTTCAGCGCTAACAAGGGTTCGTGGTCGGTGACAAGGAGAAACTTCTTTCCGTACAGATACGGATGGAAGTGTTGGATTCCCCACACCACTGCGTAGCATTCGCCCTGCGGGGCTGAGTCGTTCTTCCGCTCATCAGGTACTGTTCGTGAAGCGTATTCGATGACGTGTTCGCGGCCGTCGTTCCCCTTCTGCGCTAAGATAGCGGATATAGCCTCCGGTTGCCAGTCCGTGATGAGAATGAACTGCTTCGAGGGGTCCGGTCGGATTAAAATAGGCGTCGTAGCCAGAGCTTCCTTGACGATCGCAAAGGCCTGCTCGCACTCATCGTCTCAACTAAGGGGCTGGTCCTTCCGTAACAGGTTCGTTAGAGGTTGTGCAATCGTGGCGAAGCCCTTGATGAAATGACGATAGTACGAAGCTAACCCCAAGAAGGCTCGAACCTGCGTCAGTGACGTGGGAACAAGAGCTTCCTTCACCACCGCGACCTTTCTCGAGTCAGGCCGCAGTCCTCCACGTGTTACGATGTAGCCTAGGAACGAAATTTCCGAAAGGAAAAATTCGCTCTTTTCGAGCGCAATCTTGAATCCAGCGTCTCTTAGAGCACCCAGTGTCCACTCGATGTGTTGTGCATGGTCGTGATAGGTCTCTGAATAGACCAGGATGTCGTCCATGTACACGATGACGCAGAAGTTGATCATTCCTTGTGTTAACCGTGTCTTGTTGACGAAGTTCTGAAAGGTGACATTCATGGCTCGCTGAAACGTGGTCGGCACATTGCAAATCCCCATCGGACATCGAACCCACTGCCACGTGCCTTCAAACAATACAAAGGCCGTCTTTGGCCGATCTTCCTCCTTAACCAGAATGTGATGGAAGCCATGCCGGATATCAAACTTATTGAAATAGTTAGCTCACCTAATCGCATCCAGCAAATCATCAATCCGGGGGAGGGGATATACATCTTTGATCGTGATATCATTCAGTTTGCGATAATCGACGCATATGCGAATTGGTCCGTTCTTTTTGGGTATTAACACTACTAGGAATGACCATGGTCCGGTGGCAGGCTCAATCCATCCGCTTGCTTCGAATTCTCGAATCCGTTCGAGAGCCTTCTTCCGTTCCACCAGCGAATATCTGTAAGGTTTGCAGTGAATTGGGGAATGATTTCCCGTCTGCTGTATGACTAACGACAGTCGAATATCTGTGTCTGTTATGCTAATCGCTCCCTTGTACTCTTTCATAATGTCGGTGATTAAGTGATGAATCTCATTGGGTACATATTGGGGCACGTGCAACTCGTACAGTTCATCCCATATTCTTACGTCAATATGTTTTGTATTGATGCGCTTGGCATTTTCTGACGCGGGCGCAAAGATGAAGGAGTTATCTGATGGCCAGGAGAACATTCATCATCTGTGCATCCTGTTCTTGGATGGCCACGTGTTCCTCCAGCGTTACTCCGTCTCGAATGTCTTGCCATGGCACCGACTTCACTGCGATCTTGATTCCGAGTCCGCTTTCGAGGTGCTCCGGGGGTTCCAAAGAGTTGATCTCTGCTCGCAAGCGTAGCAATCGAACCTCTTTTGCACGTGTCAACAGAGATTTCGGGAGATTCGTAATATCGCAGTTTTTGCGATTGTTGTGCGTGTGACGGCAAACCACTTCCGATTTGCTTTGCAGTGCTGCAGCATGCGTTCGTTAGCGTGCTCTGATATCGAGAGCAGGTGGCCGATCGAAAGAGGAATCCAATGGTCTAATGCTCGGACGATGTTCAGAACATCAATTTCGCTAGTGACGAAGGTGGGTCCTCCCGACTCCATCTCTCCTAGAGAAGGTCGCCACTCCGCCACCTCTTTCTGTTTTGGCGCTGGTCTGATCGTTCCAATCATTCCAAGCCCTGGATAGCCAAGTAATACATATTGATCCAACGGAATGAGCTCAACAGCCTCTTCCGTGGTAGCTAAGGCACTTCCTCCACCTTCCATTTCTTCCATCAGGGCTCCTACCCGTCCAGGTCCATTAGCGATAGGGGCCGCGACCATTGGTGCGACCCCGACCCGTTGTTGTGGGGGCCGGTGGGGGCAATCACGAGCTAGATACCTCAGTTGATGGCACGCATAACAGACGTTCAGATTGCCTGCGGCCCCTCCGAGAACAGGTGTCGGGGCCATTCCTTGTTGAATTGGGGCGGCGTGTACTGCGATGGGCCTCATATTTCTCATCATAGCCTCTTGCCGAGCATTATGCTCTCGCTGTTCCTTTTTGCTTTCTTGGATTAGGCTAATTAGTGTTTTGGTCAGTTCCAAAATGGCGGTTGACTCATTCGACCGTACGGGKTTTTCGGTCGGTGGCGTGGGTGCCGTCATTACAGGCGCTGGCATCACCGGGACAGGCATGGCCGTAATCACACTTGGTGTCGATCGGTTAGGGGATATCTGCTCCAGATAGGTAATAGGACCTGACACAAACCCCATGTTTTCGAACTTGTTTTGCAACGCGGCCAGCTCAGCCCTTGCCCTCGCAAGTTCAAACGAGTCTCCTTCCTTCGAATAATCTTCCCCTTCTAGGAAACTCGCCGCAAACTTTTGTTTCATCTCTTCTGCAACAGCCATGGTCTGTTGCAGCGTATGATTAATGGGGGAGAACTGCTTTCGCAATTTCACCCTTATCGTTCAGCTGCGAAGTCCGTCAATGAACAAATCTCTTCCTACTTGCTCCCCTCGCTCCGTTTTTACGAACATTCGGTAAAACCGGTTTTGATATTCCGTAACGGATTCGAGGGGTTTTTGAACTCGATCTTTAATCATAAAGAGCACTTGTTCTAGATGGATATAATCAAACCGATTCAAAAAATCTCGCTCAAAGGTTGGAAGATCCACCCATACATAGGTACTGAACCAATGATGGGCCCCCCTCCTAGTCGATATGGAATGTTCAAATGAGCTTCGTTGTCATCATACTGTTGCGCCCGGAGCGTAGCTAACACAGGATCTAACAGATAGAGATCTGGTGGCGTCATCGGAGCTCGTGCACGTGGTACGGGTTGATTAGGATTTTGCAGGGGATTCGGGTTCTGCTGATTAGGATTCATGTTGACGGACCGTCGATTAGCCGATCTGCTTCTAGTGACGACGGGGTCACGTCTATGCACATTTCGGGGTCGAGGTCGCCCTTGGTTAGCCAGATCGCTTAATTATCGTGTTGTTAGTCCTATAACCCGGCCACGTGTCGGGCTCCGATACCAACCTCACGCCCAGCGCGACTTCCTGGTCGGAGTGGGATGTGGGCCAGGAAGTGCGAAAAGAGGTGTGCCAAGGATTTTCGGGAAAGTGGGGGTGGAATCCCAGGTCAGAACTGAGATCTCCTGTGGCGGGGTTTCAGGAGCACGGGTGCAATAGAGCTAAGAGCGAACTCCCTCTGGTATGTTGGCGTGCAGCATAACGCAGATGGCATGCGCGGTGCATTCAAGGCCGTTCGATCCGTCTGTTTTGGGGGCGGCAGTTCGGGGAGAGGTCGGCCCGGAATGACTGTGATTCTGATGAGGCGAGCCTTTGGGGGCAGCTGTATGGCGTTTGGCGGCGCGCGTTTGGGTTAGGCCTCCGGTTTTCGGGGGCTCGTCGGTTGCTGTGTCGCCGACAGTTTTCGCAGGGCGTGCGGGGCCAGTATTCGGCGATGGAATTCCACGGGACAACTGTGAGTTGGTGATACGGGAGGAGGAGGCGGGAGGGAGGGAAGTTGGTAGCGATAACGACGAAGCCGGGGGATATGACGTAATGCGAGTTGTCCGAAGTGGGAAAATCGGGACACCTCGGATCACTGGTCGTAGCACAGTGAAACTCCCTGGGGTACAATCGATTCTCGGTTAGGCAGGGGAATTATGGGTGTCTCCGTCTGAGACACTTGTTCACCCAAGGGTTGAAATACTCTCGATCCCACGACGAGTCTGGGTCCCTTGAGTACGTCATCTTGTCATCGAGGTGTGATGGGATTCTTCTGCACACGTCCAACCGGCAAGAGGGATTCTCTGATGTGATATCGACTCCTTTCCGTTTAGATGCGTGGGGGAAGGGATCTTCCACCTACCCGATATCGAACGTGTCAAGTTCGTCAGAGGTTACGAAGCGGCACGCGTGGATACGTGTAGGCCGCGCCGATCAGATCGTGCTAACACGTGTTCCCATGAGGCATTTGCTTATTTCTGGACAAACAACTACCCAATCATCTAATCACTCCGTGATCCCGTACGCAATCGTTCCTGAGCATGCAAGATGCAGCAACAACAGTAGGACACACAGTAGTGAAAACAGTATGACTACGCCAAATTCCTATTATGCTCGTATCAACGACAAGCAAGGCAAGATCAAGCAAAAAGACACGTAACCAACATGACATTCATTCATCCATTCATTCGACACAACACACAACAATGAAATCGAGATTGGTTATAAAAACGAGTGTGGGCGAAAACCAAGCGAAGATTCCTAGCACAATCAAAGAAACGGGCGAATCACCTCGAGCCGAGATCAAAATTTATAAACAAAAGCAAGAGGGGGGAAAAGACAAAGAAAACTGCAAATCCACGCCCATCAACCTCAGCTCCCTCTCTTTCTCTCTCTCTCTCTCTCTCTCTCTCTCTCTCTCTCTCTCTCTCTCTCTC